TGGCTAGGATTCCTCCCACCCCTGGGTCTCCCCCTCATGGTTCTGGGATCTCCAGGGAACAAACAACTCTTCTTTTCCCACAAGGGTGTGTGTGGCCATTGGAGGCTGATATGGAGTCCAGGGCCTCCAGAGGGGTTCAGAGCCTCTGCCAACAAAACCCCAGCTTAAGAACATTGCATCCTTTGGGATCTGGGGGTAGGGGAGGGCAGGGAAGGAGGAAGGGAGGGGGAGAGAGATGAAAGGGGGGGAGGAGAGAAAGAGAGAGGAGAGCGGGGAGGAGAGAGAGGAGAAGGAGGCAGAAAGAAAGAGAGCAGAGAGAAAGAGAGAGGCCAGGTACCAGTGGCTCACGCCTGTAATCCTAGCCACTCAGGAGGCTGAGAACTGAGGATCGTGGTTCAAAGCCAGCCCAGGCAGGAAAGTCCATGGGACTCTTATCTCCAATAAACTTCTCAGAACAAAAAAGCTGGAAGTGGCGCTGTGGCTCAAGTGGTAAAGTGCTAGCCTTGAGCAAAAGAAACTCAGGGACAGTGCCCAGGCCCCAGGTTCAAGCCCCAGGACCACCACTACCACCACCACAAAGTATGGTAAAGCAATAACTTTGAGCAAAAATAGACCCCCAGGGACAGTGTCCAGGCCTGGAGTTCAAGCCCCACCACTGACAGAGATAAACAAATAGTAATAAAATAAAATGCAACTCTGTTCTATTCCTACTTATCATGTCCCAGCCAGGCCATCTTCTTCCTGGGCCCTGCATTCTGTGTTTCTGGCCGTGCCTGACTGCCTTTGACTCATCTGCTGGCCACTCTGGGTGGAGGTGGAGGAGCTCAGCAGTCGATTGTTTCTGCCTCTCCTCCCACTCCCCCTGTAATGGTCCAGGGCCAGTGAACACATCACACGCAGGCACCAATTTTCTTCAGAAACCCCACAGGCCTAAATATCTTTCCTGAAGGCAGGAAGAAAGCCCAACCAGGACAACGTGGCAATGTGTACCGTGTTCCCTCATGTGACCCACAAACCAAACCTCTCTGCTCAGCCTCCACAGCTAGGAAACCAGGAATGATTTGAGAATGACAGCCCAGGGACGTGGCAGTACCCCGACCACCACCCCAACTACCTGGAAGCTCCCTGCACCTTCTGGGTGTGTACAGGAGGTCTGGTGGCACAGATGAGGATGGAGAGCTCTAGATTAGACAGCTCAGCCTTTCTGCCATTATGGACTCCATTTCCCCAAGCCAGGCTAGCTCCAGATCTAGTGGTAATGGTCCATTCAGTGGCCTCTCATACTCCTGGCTTGGTCGCTATCCTCAGATAGGAGTGACCTCTAGTGACCCTGTGTGTGTGTGTGTGTGTGTGTGTGTGTGTGTTGCTGGAACTGGGGCTTGAACTCAGGGCCTGGGCATTGTCCCTGAGCTTTTTATGCTCTACCACTTGAGCCACAGCTCCCCGACTTCTGGCTTTTTATTGGTCCACTGGTGGTCAGAGTCTCACAAACTTTCCTGCCTGGGCTGGCTTTGAAGCTCAATCCTCAGATCTCAACCTCCTGAGTAGCTGGGATTACAGGCGTGAGCCACCAAGCTCAGACAGTAGGAACACTCTTGTTAGGACTCTTAAGAATGTCAATTGCAGCTCCCTGCTGGAACTTTAGCAAGTCCTTTCCATCTCTCAAGCTCAAGGGGTTCCTAGAGAATCCTGAATTCTCTACCTTAGGGACTAAATAAAAGCATCAGGCCATGAGATTAGGAGGTTAAAACTCCTTGGGGCTTGGGCACCTATGGCTCACGCCTGTCATCCTAGCTACTCAGGAGGCTGAGATCTGAGGATCATGGTTCAAAGCCAGCCCAAGCAGGAAAGTTCCTGAGACTCATAGTTCCAATTAAGCGCACACACACACATATACACACACACACACACAGAGTCCTTTGTGAACTGGGAAGTTGTAAGGGAGAGTCTTCAGCTGTGCAGTGGTGGGAGGTGAAGTCCAATTTCTTTCTCTGCCTTTGGCCTTGCCCTGATAGGCAGCCTGTCTGCCCAAGGGACCCAGAGACAGATAACAATGGGGTCTTTGTGCCCAACAGCCAATGGCAGGCGAGAGATGGGAGGAGGGAGTCTCTGCCCTAGAGAAAGATACAGTAGCACTGATTGAGTCAGTCTGTGTGCCTGTGCAGCCTGGACTCTGAGCCAGACACACAAGAGGTGTAACATTGTCAGCTGCCATCAATAAAGCCGGACCCTACTTCCATGGAGCTGGAACTGGCTGAGCTGATATTAGCCTGGGCCTAGAGCTGGGAGACCAAAGCTCAGGCCTAACTCAGGCCTGCAGCATGGGGCCCTGAGATACCCCAGGAGAATGTGGGAAGGGATAGATTCTGGCTGCTATGAAAGAAGACAGAGCTAGGGTGTCCATGGTTCCCGCCAGTCACCATTGCTGCTCCAGGAGGCTGAGATCTGAGGACTGTGGTTCAAAGTCAGCCCAGGCAGGAAAATCGGTGAGACTTTTATTTCCCATGAACCACCAGAAAACTGGAAGTGGAGCTCTGGCTTTGAGCTGAAGAGCTCAGGGACAATTCCCAGACCCTGAGTTCGAGCTCAATGATTGATTTAAAAAAACAGAAACAAAAACCTCAAGTGGTAGAGTGCTAGTTTTTGTTTTTGTTGGTATTGTTTTTGGTTGTGGGGCCTAAATTCTGGGCCTGGGTGCTGACCCTCAGCTCTTCAACTCAAGGCTAGCGCTCTACCACTTGAGCCACAGCGCCACTCCTGCCCTTTTTCTATTTATGTGATACTGAGGAATTGAACCCAGGGCTTCATGCATACTAGGCAAGCATTCTACCACTAAGCCACATTCCCAGCCCTGAGCTGGTTGGGTGAGTTCTAAGCTATAGGATCTTGGTCAGGTCATTTGTTTCTCTGACTTTTGTTTAAAGTTGGGGAGAGTCAGCCAGAGGCTGATGGCTCACACCTGTAATCCTAGCTACTCAGGAGGCTGAGATCTGAGGATCGTGGTTCAAAACCAGCCCAGGGCAAGAAAGTCCATGAGACTATTTCCAATAAACCAGAGGTGGCGCTGTGGCTCAAGTAGTAGAGCGCTTGCCTTGAGCTGAAGAGCTGAGGGACAGCGTCCAGGCCCAGAGTTCAAGCCCCATGACCAACAAAAAATAAAAAATAAAAAAGCTGGGAGTGGAGGTGTGGCTTAGGTGGTCGAGCGCCAGCCTTGAGTGAAAAGTTAAGTGAGAGTATAAGGCCCTGAGTTCAAGCACAAGGAAGGGAATGAGAGAGGGAGGGAGGGGCTGAGTGGAGAGAGAGTTACTGTCCCTACCTTTGGTGAACAAAATAACGCCCTGCTTCAAGCTGTTAAAGTTCTAGCTGCAATGACATGAACTGACCTGGCAAAGAGGACTTTTGTGGATTATGTTAAGGATTCTGAGATAATCCTAGATTATCCACAGCTCTAATGTAACCATGAGTCATCAGAAGATAGAAGCTTGAGGGTCAAAGTCCCCCCACCCCCCAAACACACACACACACACACACACACACACACACACACGCGCGCGCGCGCACACACACACACACACACACACACACACACACACACGGAGCAAAGGCAAAAGCAGAAATTCTGAGTTCAAGCCCCAGTCCCAACACAAAATGGACAAAATATTATTACCTTTAAGTAGTTGTACAAAGGGGTTTCAATTTCACATATCAGTTTATGATCCATGTCACCCCTTCCTTCATTCTCTCCCCTCCCCTCCCCCCCATCCATCCCCTCAAGTTACCTGGCTCCATTTTCACAAGTGGATATGGATTAGTATGACCTTTTCCCTCTCCATTGCTCTGCCCTACCTCCCTTAAGCCCTGTTCAACGAAACATACAACAAAAGTGTACAGTGAATGTTTGTTGTTGCTGTTTGGTTTTTGTTGGTCGTGGGGCTTGAACTCTGGGCCTGGGCGCTGTCCCTGAGTTCTTCAGCTCAAGGCTAGCGCTCTACCACTTGAGCCACAGTGCCACTTCCGGTTTTTTGATGGTTAATTGGAGATAAGAATCTCAAAGACTTTCCTGCTCCAGCTGGCTTTGAACGGAGATCTTCAGATCTCAGCCTCTTGAGAGGCTGGGATTACAGGCATGAGCCACCCGTACCCCACTGAATGTCTTTTTTTAAACCACAGTTCCCCAACCCCAAGGATGCTTCTGGTGGCAGTTTGTTTTGTCTATCAATAGGAGACTTCAGCCCTGCCTTGGTAGCTTACCCCTGCAATCCTAGCTACTTAAGAAGGCTGATGTCTGAGGATCTGAGTTCAAAGCCAGCCAGGGCAGGAAAGTCCATGAGACATCTCCAACGGACCACCAGAAAACCGGAAGTCATGCTGTGGCTGGAAATGATAGAATGCTGGCCTTGGGCACAAAAGTTCAGGGAGAATGCCTAGGCCCTGAGTTCAAGCCCTAGGACAAGAAGAAGAAGAAGAAGAAGAAGAAGAAGAAGAAGAAGAAGAAGAAGAAGAAGAAGAAGAAGAAGAAGAAGAAGAAGAAGACGACTTTATTCAGAATTTCTCTGCTCTTCTTGGCATTGCCTAATATAATATATAATAATAAAATATAATGGAATCCTCTTGTAAAAGTCAGGACACTGGGCCGGGCTGTACCCCAGGGCGGATAGTTGGGTAATCCCTCACCCTCTTCAGGCCCACTGAACAAGGACAAAGCTATTCTAGATGATTCCTGGGGTCCATCCAGCCTTGGCATTCCTGATGAGGTGGTGGGGAAGTTCGGGGTGGGGTGGGGGCCTTGGGAGAGGGGGTGTCTGGTCAGGGCAGCAAGAAGGGGGAATGAAAGAAATACAAAGCCAGAGGTAGCTTTGGGGAGAAGGGAGGGGGGAGGTAGAGCAGGAGGGAAGGAGGAGACAGAGGAGGAGGAGGAGGGACTGGGGGCAGGGGGGGGGGGGGGCTGACCCAGCCTCTAGCTCAGAGTGGCTTCCTGTAGTCTTCTCAAAACTCCAGCAACATTCCTGCAGAACTTCAGACTGCCCGGACATCTCTGCCTGTCTCCTTGCTACCTTCCTGCCATAGAGGTAAGAAAACCCCACAGCTCACATCCCCAGCCACACCCCATCATCCTGGCCGGATGGGTACCCCCTTTGCCCGGCCTGATCCTCAGCTACTCTGCCTGTTGCTTTGGAGAAAGCAATTCAATACTTTGTCGCTCCGTTTAGCTTTTAGCTCTGCCGGAGAGAAAGACAATCATTTCTCACAGCATGTCTTCTCTCTGTGTTTGTCTCTCGGGTTTCAGAAGCTGTCTGTCTGTCCTTTTTATAAATTTTTGCTCCTTTGCCAACCTGGCCTCCATTCTGGGAATCCTATCAATAGCCCGCCGCTTGTTGATTCGGTGTCTATTTTCTAGAACAGTCTTTCTAGACTTGCTTCCCAAAGATCTAGGGGCAGAAGAGAGACTTTTTTCTTTTTTCTTTTCCTTTTTGCACCCATGAGAAAACAGATCGGATCCCTGACTGGCAAAGGTGGAGCTCAGCCTTTTTAGGAAGCCTGGATGCGCCCCCCCCCCCCCCATGAGCCCTCTCCCCCTCTAATCCCCCCCACCCCATCCTCTCAGGCTGGCTCTGTTCAGCCTCAAATGGCACCTGCGCTTAGCAAGTATGGTAGATTGGCTTTGTTCCTCTGTCTCTTGGGTTTCCTGGAGAAGATCCACAAAGGGAGTTAGATCTCAAGGACCAGGAAAGTATCCAAGCAAGGAAACGGAAGAAAAATCTAGAGGAATACATTCCAGGGTGCCTTTCCCTACTTCACTGGGTTAGAAAGGCAGACAGAAATGCATCCCGTCTGCTGGGTGTCAGTTTATTTCCAGATGACTTCTTTGGGGATTGTCCGGTGGTCTTCTGGTGTCTTGTGTCCTTTGGAGGGATTGGGAAGTGTGTGTGTTTGGGGTGTGTGTGTAGGGACCAGGGGAAACAGGGGAAAGTGAATCACCCTAAAAGAGGGATGCATTTTTTTCCCTCAGAGCAAGAGCATTAAAAAAAAAAAAAAAAGTATCAGAAAATGATGCTTCCGGCTGTCTTATAAAGTTTCTAGAATCTGCCAGTGCCTATGATGTAGAAAGAGCAAACCCAAGTAGAGAACCTGATTGAAGAGGTCTCTGGAACTTTCTAGAGCAAAGTCTCTTAAATGAGATCATAAATGGGCCTTTGAATGGGCCAGGGTGAAGCCTGTTAAAAGCAGAGTTTGTTAGGTGGGGGAAAGCCAAGAGTTAACTCAGACACCAGTTGCCACGTCTGTCGACCAGGGGGAGGGAGGGAGGGAGGGAGGGAGGGAGAGAGGGAGGTGGGGGAGGCTGCCCCAGAAGAAATCCACTTTTGCAACTTTCTCCAAGTCCCACCCACTGGGTAGAAGCTCTTCTAGGCTGTGTGACTCACTGGCTGAGGAATGTTAGTTGCCATGGTAACCTTTTTACTTTTCTTTTCTTTTTTTTTCCTCTCCAGGGTCTTTGCTGGCTGGGAGGGGACTTTGGGAACACTTTGAGCACGTCACACACACACACACACACACACACACACACACACACACACACACACACACACACACACACACACACACACACACACACGGAAGCACTTTGATAGGATGGATTCAATTTAATGTATCCTAATGCCCATGAAATTCATTCATTCCTTGCTTCCTCCCCTTCCCCCCCAAGCTCCATTTAAACTTGAGGGTTTGTATAAAACTCCTCTTTTCTGAAAGTATTCTACATGCATTGTTGTTATTGTTGCTGGTGTTGTTTTGTAAGATCATTATTGTTTAGACAGGCATTTGTGGCTCATGCCTGTAATCCTAGCTCCTCAGGAGTAGTTAGGGATCTGAGTGTCAAGGTTCAAAGCCAGATCTGGCAGGAAAGTCCTTGAGACTTTTGTCTCCTAGGAACGACTCCAAAGGCCCAAAATGGAACTATGGCTCAAGTGGTAGAATGCTAGTAGCCTTGAACAGAAAAAGCTCAGGGACAGTGCCTAGGTTCTGAGTGAAAAATAAAATCTCTCTTGGCTGGTCTGCTATAGCTTAGCTCAGCCTGTAAGGCTTCATCATTAGATCCAGTGCTGGTTTGAAGTAGCCACTGGTTTTCTTCTGGATGATTCCTTTCTCTAGCCCTCCATCTTAAAAGGAGAGAAGGAAAAGCTAGCTAGGAGCTTCTGGGCAGACCTGAGGATTAAGGGAGTTCTCTCTCTCCCTCCCTGTTTCCCCCTCTCCCTCCCTCCTTCCCTCCCTCCCATCCTAAATAATGAAGCTGGTGAGTCTTCTAGGCCAGAATCAGCAAGTTAAGACAGAATCCTTTAGAAAAGCAGCCTCCTCCTTAGCCTTAAGATATATTAAACAGTCATGCGTGCAGGCCATAGAAGCTTGACCCTGGCTTGATGTCCATAGGACAACTAAACATTGTCTCCATTGTTGGATTCATCCAGAAAGTTAGTAATAACTTATTGGGGGGGGTGTGTGTGTGTGCAGGGAGGCATCCCTTTAGGTCATGTCAATCTCGTCATAGCATTAGGATCTCAGATGAAAGAAGAAAGAAAAAAGAAAAGAAAAACCAAACAAGCAAAAAGTAAAGCAAGGCAAACAGCTAGCCTGTTTTTGAACATCTGGCAGTTTGGCTCCACCCACTTGCTGGAGGAAGCTAAGTGACTTGTTTTCCCCCTCTGAGCCTCAAGATCTGTTCTCTTATCTTTAAGAGGCATAGCAAAGAACTTTCTCCTGGCCCATTCACTATGAAATCCACTGGTAATGGCTGCCCTGAAGAACTGGGTTCTAAGGAGCTTGGGATCCATTAGTAATGTCTGCACAGAAGGAGCAGGGGGAGTCACACTGCCACGTCTGGGGTCTTGGAGGCCTTCCCCAGGGAAGGGACAACCTGGACACTTGGATGTTATTTATGGATGCTGAAGCCCCACCCTGAGTCTGGACTAGCCACAGTGAAACGTGGCAACTTAGCCGTGTTTGGATGTTTATGGAATCTCAGTTGGGTGGAGTCTAGCCGCAAAACCCTGGAGTCTCTGATTTGCCCTTAGAATCTCACCAATACGTGTTAGGCTTCTTTTAACCTCTTCCTCTTCCTTGCCAGGGAGAAATATTACTCATGAAAATAGGGTGTTGGGACTGGGAAGGTGGCTCAGTGGTAGTGTGCTTGCCTCACATGCATGAGGCCCTGGGTTCGATTCCTCAGTACCACATACACAGAAAAAGCTGGAAGTGGCAATGTGGCTCAAGTGGTAGAGCGCTAGTCTTGAGCTGAAGAGCTCAGGGACAGTGCCCAGGTCCAGAGTTCAAGACCCACGACTGACAAAAAAGAAAAAAAGAAAGAAAGAAAGAATAAAGAAAATGGAGAGTTGAGCAATAAAGCCTGGAAGAGGGGGGTAACTCCAAAAAGCTTCTTCTTGCAGAGATGCAAAGAATCTCAAGGAAACCTGGAACCCACACTCCTCAGCTCCACTCCATTTTTTCCCCCTCTTTTTTTTTTTTTCTGTCAGTCCTGGGGTTTGAACTCGGGGCCTGGGCACTCTCCCTGAGCTTTTTCACTCAAATTAGCACTCTACCACTTTGAGTCACTGGCTCCGCTTCCAGTTTTCTGGTGGTTTATTGGAGATAAGAGTCTCATGGGCTTTCCTGCCCGGGTTGGCTTTGAACCTTGATCCTCAGATCTCAGCCTCCTGAATTGCTAGGATGACAGGCGTGAGCCACTGGTGCCTAGCTCATCATTAATTATCAATAGATCCATTCTCATGTTCTCACAAGTGCAAAAGCTTTTTGGCAATTTAGAAACGCATAGAACTGGCCAGAGGATTTTTACTGACAGAGGATTCTTAGGTCTTATGTAATTTGCACATTGCTGATTTAAAGCAGACTTTTCATTTCTGTTTTTGTGCCTGTGCCAGAGCTTGAACTCAGGATCTCACATTCTCTCTTAGCTTTTTTCACTCAAGCGCTCTACCCCTTGGACCATACCATCACTTCCTGATCTTTTGATTTTTTTGTCTGTTGTGGGGCTTGAACTCTGGGCCTGGGCGCTGTCCCTCAGCTCTTCAGTTCAAAGCGAGCACTCTACCACTTGAGCCACAGCGCCACTTCCGGTTTTCTGGTGGTTCATCGGAGATAAGAGTCTCACAGACTTTCCTGCCCGGGCTGGCTTTGAACCTTGATCCTCATATCTCAGAGGATTACAGGCATGAGCCACCAGTGCCCGACCTCTAATTTTTTTTTTTTTTTTTAATGGTTATTTGGAGATGAGAATTCCTCAGATTAGTCTTTCCTGGGCCAGAATCTAACCCCGATCCTCAGGTCTCAGCCTCCTTTTGAACAGCTAGGATTGAAGGTGTGAATCACCAGCATCTTGCATAAGTCTTCTCATTGTACAGTCCCAGTAGCCTAGGTCTAGAGGCCAGAGATTTTACTATGTTTTGCAGTGAGCTGGGAACAATGAAGGTTGACTTGTTCCCAGAAATGAGTCTCAAAATCCTTGACTTCCACATTGCGAAGTCACTTTTATTTTATTAGTTTTTATTTTTATTTTATGTTTGATACCGGCTCTGTCCCTTAGCTCTGTTCTTTTTGCTCCACCACTTGAGCCACAGGTCCATTTCCAGCCTCACTGGGGGGTAAAAGTCTCATAGACTTTCTGACCTCAAATTGCCATCCTCAGATCTCAGCCTCCCGAGCCATGAGGATGGTAGGCGTGAACCACCCGTGCCCAGCTTTAAGCACGCTTCTTTGAGATTCGCTTAGATGGGAAGATGTACAAATCAGCTTCAGTGCTGCTCTTTCTCAGAGCCTCTAATCCCGAGACACACAGTCTAGAATCTTGTGACATTCATTTTTATGTTAAAAAAAGAGGTAAGCTGGGGGGGGGGGGGAATAAGGGTAACTGTATTTTTCCAACCCCAGAACCTTTCCAGAGAGAGAGAGAGAGAGTTGACCTCAGCCTCAGGTCCTCCTGGCAGCCTATACTAGTGTTCAGCTCTCTCCAGAGCAAATAAAGGCTGAACCACATCCAGAACCCAAGGCAGTGACGGTGGAGGGGTTGGGCAAGGGGTGTCTATGCTTGGTGCTCACCTAGCCAAGGGAAATACGCCTCCGTTTCCTCTCTAGCTTGGGGCTTTTTTTTTTCCTTTCCTATATCTCAGGGCCAACTCAGGCTCACTGGGCCCCATGTAAGTGGAAAGAAGTTTAACCAGGTATTGGCTACTTCTTTCCTTTCTACAGCCTTCCTTCCTTCCTTCCTTCCTTTCTTCCTTCCCTCTCTCTTTCCTTGCTTCCTTCCCTTCTTTCTCTTTCTCTTTTTCTATTTGCCTGTCTGTCTCCCCTCCCCCCACCCTGGCCTTCCCCCTCCCTTCACCCCCCCCCCACCAGTCCTGGGACTTGAACTCAGCACCTGAGCACCATTCCTTAGCATTTTTCACTCAAGGCTGGCTCTCTGCTACTTAATCCAGAGCTCCACTTCTGCCTTTGTTGTTGTTGTTTTTGTTATTTAATTGGGGATAAGAGGCTCAGGGACTTTCCTCCTGCTCAAGCCAGCCTCAAACCCTGATCCTCAGGTCTCAGCCTCCTGAGTAGTTAAGATGACAAGCGTGAGCCACCGGTGCCCGGTATCTTTCTGATGTGTTAACCTGAAGCTGATTCCACAGCCAAGTCCTGTCTGGACTGTTTCTCCCGTGACTTGGCTTTGTGTTCATTGTCGGCTGGAGGGGACGAGTTATCTGGGGTCTTAGCTGCCAGTCTTCCTTTGGCTCTTCAACCTCAATCTCAGACAAATCCTCCATGTTTTCTCCCCCGTTCCATGTGTCCAAAGGTGCATGCTTGTGCCTTCCGAAGAGGAAAGCAAGAAGGAAGATAGATTGTCCATCCTCTTGGGAAAACAAGTGAGGCATGGTGGGAAGGGGAGGAACATTCCAGAACTTGAGGGGAAAGGAAACGCTGGGTTCCTCTGGGAGTTGGGGCCATGGTGAAGCAGTGCGAAGTTCCCACGGCAGATCATTGAAATTCCTGTTCGTTTTTGTTTTGTTGTGTTGGTCGTGGGGCTTGAACTCAGGGCCTGGGCACTGTCCCTGAGGTTTTTCTTTTTTTTCTCTCAAGGCTAGCACGCTACCGCTTGAGCCACACCTCCACTTCTGGCTTTTGGTGATAATAAGAGTCTCACCGATTTTCCTGCCCAGCAGGTTGGATTCAGACCTCCAACCTCAGACCTCGGCCTTCTGAGTAGCAAAGATTATAGACAGGAGCCACAGGTGGCTGGCTAAATTTTTTTGTTTTTAATCCCATGCATAGCCCATGGGATTGGGGGCTGGCTTTTATGTCTCATCTAGCCCAGTAAAAGATTATTCTAGAATGTTCTTCCTCTAGCCTGTTTCCACTACTCTAATATTATCCTCCAGGGGAAGATGAGTAATAACAGAGGAGACAATGTGTACCAAGGGCCAGCCTGTGCTTCTAGTGTGTGTGGAGGGGGAGGGGATTGAACCCAGGTCCTTCTGCATGCTAAGCACATACTCTACCACAGAGCTATACCTCCAGCTTTGCCTGTGATGGTCTCAGAGTCTTATAAGACTCATCTCCAAAGGCATCTAGTGTAATCTTCCCATGGATAGATGGATGGATGGATGGAAGAAGCAATGTCTAGTCAGGACAAAGGACTCAGCCAGTACACTAGGCAGTACTGAGGTGGACAGAAGAAGCCTGGCATTCTAGTGTAAGCCCAGTGGTTTACCCAGAATGCCAAGCTGCCCACCAGCGGTGGACTTGCTCAAGTGAGAGGTCTTAGAAGGAAGCAGAAATGAAGAGCCTAATGGAAGAACTTTCCTGAGCCATTTGGAAATGGAAATTCACACAGTCAAATTTGTCTGCTGGGTGCTAGTGGCTTATGCCTGTCATTCTAGTTACTTAGGAGGCTCAGATCGTGGTTCAAAGCCAGCCTGGGCAGGAAAGTCCATGGGACTCTTATCTCCAATTAACTATTAGAAAAGCAGAAGTGGCGCTGTGGCTCAAGAGCTAGGCTTGAGCTGAAGAGCTGAGGGGCAGCGCCCAGGCCCAGAGTTCAAGGCCCAGGACTACTGTGTCTCACACACACACACACACACACACACACACACACACACACACAGAAATATGTGAGCCACCCTCAAGTTTCCATGGAGACTTCCATATTCCAAGACTATTGTTCTTTGTCTTCACTGTGGATCTCTTTGTCTTAAATTGGCAAGAAGCTACTATCGTCCATTAGCGTCTTCAGTTGGAGGCGGAGGGAGGGGGAGGGGGAGAGATTTGAGAATAAAACAGAAAAGAATCTCAGAACCTCAGAGATTAAGATGGAGGGCGAAGGAGGCCTGGCTCTACCCTTGATTACTCTTACTTGATTCATTAACCTCTCACCTCTCTTGATTCACCTCTTAAAGATCTGAATAAATATATTTAAGAAAAGAGACTTTTCGGTTGTAGCCATACATGGAGAACTCTGGGTACCTGTGTTATCCATTCAAGGAAACTGCAAAACTGAACACAAAGAAAGCCAAACAGCTCTATGGTTTCCCGGCTGTCTTTAGTTTCCAGTGCTGGTTCTGAGCCAGAAGGTGGCCGAGACAAAGGAGAATGGATGCTCCCAGCGCTAGTGGCTCACGCCTGTCATCCTAGCTACTCAGGAGGCTGAGACCTGAGGATCGCAGTTTGAAGCCAGCCCTGGCAGGAAAGTCTGTGAAACTCTTATCTCCAATGAACCACACCCCCAAAAAGCTGGAAGTGGAACTATGGCTTAACTCAAGGACATTCATGTTCTCTCTCTCTCTCTCTCTCTCTCCTTCCTACAGAGTTCCAGCATCACCATGAGAGCCTGGATCTTCTTTCTCCTCTGCCTGGCTGGCAGAGCCTTGGCCGCCCCAGTAAGTATTTCAAGATCTCATCTTTGGCTAGGTTCGGTGGTATCTTCTGTAATCCCAGCTCTTTCAAAGGCATGGATAGGAGGATCGTAGTCCTGAGTGGGCCCCTTGGCAAAAAGTCTAAGACTTTACTTGCAAATTCACTAACGCAAACCTGGGCCCTAGTGCTAAAATACTTGCCTACTAAAGCCCTAAACCTTGAGTTTAAAACCTAATTGCTGCCAAACAAACAAACCCCCAAACACCCTAATCTCTCATCTTTTTAGTCTTAACCCTTATCAGGCCTTCTTCCTCCTCGAGTCTGGGGAGGGGGTGGATTCGAACTCAAGACCTCACACTTGCTAAGCAGGAGCCTTACTAAACCCTGCTAGCACTTGCTAGAGAGGATGCTGGTAAGGGAAGCTGTTGGGAGAGAATCCCACCACACCGGAAGGGGTAGGTTAGCTTTTGGATCAACCAGGTTGTTTGGTTGCAAGTAACAGACTTCAACAGAGGCGCTAGTGGCTCATGCCTGTCATTTTAGCTACTCAGGAGGCTGAGATCTGAGGATCATGGTTTGGGCAGGAAAGTCTGTGAGACTCTCATCTCCAATAAACTCTGCAGAAAAAGCTGGAAGTGGAGCTGTGGCTCAAATGGTAGCGTGCTAGCCTTGAGCTAAAAGATGCTCAAGGACAGTGTCCAGGGCTTGAATATAAGCCCTGGAACTGGAAAACAAAAACAACAACAACTACAAAAACAGAAAAACAAAAAACACAGATTCCATTCTGAATAAATGAGAGAAGGGGTGGGAAAATGTAGACATAGACTCTAAGACCAAAGACTTTGGGCGCTGGTGGCTCACGCCTGTAATCCTAGCTACTCTGGAGGCTGAGATCTGAGGATCTGTGGTTCAAAGCCAGCCTGGGCAGGAAAGGCCATGAGACTCTTATCTCCAATGAACCACCAGAAAACTGGAAGTGGCCCTGTGGCTCAAGTGGTAGAGCGCTAGCCTTGAGCTGAAGAGCTGAGAAACAAAAAAGATCCAAGAAAAGACTGGCCTGGAAAAAGAGTGAGACACTTTGATTGACAGATAACTGCTCAGAAGTGGCGTTGTGGCTCAAGTGGTAGAGCACCAGCCTTGCGCATAAATTATGCTCAGAAAAAAAAAGAGAGCCAGGCCTAGTCCCTGTACCACCAAAAAAACCAAACCAAAAAACAAACTGACAAAAACCAGACACTGGGTCTGGTGACTCACGCCTGCCATCCTAGCTGCTCAGGAAGCTGAGATCTGAGGATCGCTGTTGGAAATCAACCCCAGCCTGCTGGCCTGAGACACTTTAGAGAAGAAGCAGGCCTTGCCTTTGACCTTGACCTGTCTGAAACTACTCTCTCTTTCCAGCAACAGCAGGAAGCTCTGCCTGATGAGACAGAGGTGGTGGAGGAAACAGTGGCTGAGGTGGCCGAGGTACATGGGATGGGGTGTAGGGGAGCGGGGAGGGGAACCCCAGGCCCCTAGCTCCTCTCCACCCTTCTCTTCCCTGCTATAATACACACGGGTGTCCTGGGTCTCCATGCTCGATAGGTTATTGGCCCCCCCTTCCCTCCTCAATGTCCCCTACCTATTCCCAAATTCTCACTATCCATGATTTTGAAATTCACCTTTCTCCCATGATCCTTTGCCAAAGACAGGTTAAAAAAGGGAGCTGTTCAGGTATGCCTGGAACACCTTTTCTCTTATACTCTTGAAGGCCACTGAGGTATCTCAAGGGAACCCCGAAGCACTAGAAAATATTTGGTATAAGATTAATAAGTTGGGTGGTGGTGGCTCAGGCCTGTCATCTTCGCTATTCAGAAGGCTGAGATTTGAGGATTGGGGTTCAAAGCCAGCCTAGGAAGGAAAGTCCATGAGACTCTTTATCTCCAATTAACCACCCAAAAGCCAGCAGTGGAGCTGTGGCTTATGTGGTAGAGTGCCAGCCTTGAGCAAAAATACCTCAAGGACAGTGCCCAGGCCCTAAGTTCAAGCCCCAGGACTGGCACCGAAAGGAAGAAAGAAAGAAAGAAAGACAGAGAGAAAGAAAGAAAGAAAGAAAGAAAGAAAGAAAGAAAGAAAGAAAGAAAGAAAGAAAGAAAGAGAGAGAGAGAGAAAGAAAGAGAGAGAGAGAGAAAGAAAGAAAGAGAGAAAGAAGAAAGACAGAGAGAGAGAGAAAGGAAGGAAGGAAGGAAGGAAGGAAGAAAGGAAGGAAGGAAGGAAAAGTCAGGTGCTGGTGGCTCACGCCTATAATCCTAGGTACTCAGGAGGCTGAGATCTGAGGCTCCTGGTTCAAAGCTAGCTCAGGCAGAAGAGTCTGAGACTCTTATCTCCAATTAACCAGTAAAAAGCTGGAGGTGGAGGCTTGGCTCAAACAGTAGAGCACCAACCTTGAGCAAAAGAGCCAAATGAGAGCATGAGGCCTTGAGTTCAAACCCCAATTCGGGAACATACCATAAAAGATAAATAAGCAATTAATCAACTAGGAATGCCTATAAAGCCGGGAGCCAGTGGCTCACGCCTGTCATCCTAGCTACTCAGGAGGCTGAGATCTGAGGATCACGGTTCAAAGCCAGCCCAGGCAGGAAAGTCTGTGAGACTCTTATCTCCAGTGAACCACCAGCAAACCAGAAGTGGTGCTATGGCTCAAGTGGTAGAGCGCTCGCCTTGAGCTGAAGAGCTGAGGGACAGTGCCCAGGCCCAGAGTTCAAGCCACACGATGGAAGAAAAAGAAACCCTTTAAGATTCAGTCTAAACTGGGCCGGGCATGTATGTTACACTCTGCGCCCAACCCGCCCTTCCAGCCTGCCTCTCCTTCCTCCATCCTTATGAGATCTGGGATGGGAGACAGCCACCGTTTGACTTATTTTTTTTCCCTTTCCATCCCAGGTCCCTGTGGGAGCCAACCCCGTCCAGGTAGAAGTAGGAGAATTTGAAGATGGCGCCGAGGAAGCAGTAGAGGAGGTGGTGGCTGACAGTAAGTCCTTCCAGTGACTTCCCATGCCCAGGCTGGCCGGGCCTGTGGGCCTGACTAAGGAAAGACCGTTAGTGTGAGGCTTTTGTGCAAGGGAAATGTAGGGTGGGGCTCTGGGGGATCGTGGAGAGAGAGCTGAGAATAGTCTGGCCTTTCCTCCCCTGGAATCTGGACTCTAGGGAGGATCTATTTATAACCAAGCCATCATCCTGTGAGTGGACAGAGAGGAAGGTCTCTGACCGGAAGTAGCCTCTCCTCTTCCTCCTTGTTCTGAATCCAAGCTGAGTTTCTCATTCCTTGAAGGTCATGGAGATTTCCCATAGTTTGTTTCCTCCTCCTCCTCCTCCTCCTCCTCCTCTTTCTTCTTTCTCCTTTCTCCTTCTTCTCCTCCTCTTCGTTTTCCTCCTTTTCCTCCTTTTTCTTCCTTCCTTCCTTTCTTTCCTACCTACTTTCTCTGTCTCTGTCTCTCTGTCTGTCTCTCTCTATCTCTCTGTCTCTGTTTCTGTCTCTGTCTGTCTGTCTCTCTCTGTCTCTGTTTCTGTCTCTGTCTCTCTGTCTGTCTCTCTGTCTCTGTCTCTCTGTGTGTCTCTCTGTCTCTGTCTGTCTCTCTCTCTTTTGCTCGTCCTAGGGCTTGAACTCAGAACCTCTGTTCTGTCCCTCTGCCTTTTTTTTTGGGGGGGGGGTCCAGTTGGGGGGCCTGAACTCTGGGCCTGGGCGCTGTCCCTCAGCTCTTCAGCTCAAGGCTAGCGCTCTACCACTTGAGCCACAGCACCACTTCTGGCTTTTTTCTTTTTTTGCTTATGTGGTGCTGAGGAATCGAACCCAGGGCCTCATGCATGCAAGGCAAGCTCTCTATCACTGAGCCACCTTCCCAGCCCCCCTCTGCCTTTTCTGTGCTCAAGGCTAGCATACTGCCACGTAAGCCATAGCACCACTTCTGGCTTTTTCTGTTTATGTAGTACTGAGGAATCCAACCCAGGGCTTCATGCATGCTAGGCGAGCACTCTGCCACTAAGCTACGTTCCCAGCCACCCCTGGCTTTTTCTGAGTAGTTTATTGCAGATACTCTCATGGACTTTCCAGCCCCAGCTGGCTTTGAACCACAATCCACAGATCTCCATCTCCTGAGGAGCTAGGATGTCAGGCATGAGCCACCAGCACCCAGCAGCTTGAACTCAGGAACTTTTACACTCATGAGATGATCTGGTTTTCACTCACTCCAATGACATCCGTCCCTGAGGAAATGGAATCTGCCAAACTCTCCATGCTCCAGAGGAGATAATGACGGAGGGAGGGAAATGGCCAACAGCCTTTGGGTTGAGTCTGCAGGCTAAGGTGTCTAAAGTATGTACAACACGGATGCTAGAAACAAACCAAGTAAGGTAGGGAATGTGGCTTAGTGGTAGAGTGCTTGCCTAGCGTGCATGAAGCCCTGGGTTCCATTCCTCAGTACCACATACACAGAAAAAGCCAGAAGTGGGGCTGTGGCTCAAGTAGTAGAGTGCTAGCCTTGAGCAAAAGAAGTTCAGGGACAGTGTCTAGGCCCTGAGTTCAAACCCCAGAACTGGCAAAAAGAAAAAGAATAAGGAAAAAGAAAAAAAAAGTCATAGCCTAGTGCCTACAAAGCAGACATGTCATACAGGCAACAAAAATAACCCAGAATAAGCATTAGGGAGCAAATAGCTGGGTAAATCTTACCTGTAGGGAATAAGGAAGGAGTCGGGGACTAAACTAAGTTGCGAGTTTTGGTTGAAGCAGAGAAGTGTGAGCTTGAGTCACAGCCCTTCCTTTTTCCTGCGGTTTCCTTCTGGTGTTTACAAGACTCAACTCCATTGTCCATTGTGGGTCTCTATGGCCTCTTCCTTTTCCTTTTCCTTTTCCAGACATTTAAGTCTGCTTAGGTGGACCTCACAGCTCCCAAATTGCCGACAGTGGTTGACTACAAGCTATTTCAGAAAGTCTATTCTAAGCTGGCTACCTGTGGCTCACACCTGTCATCCTGGCTCCTCAAGAGGCTGAGATCTGAGGATTGTGGTTCCAAGCCAGCCAGGGCCGACAAATCTAGGAGGCTCTGATCTCCAATTCACCAGCAAAAAAAGCAGAGGTGGCAGTGTGGCTCAAAGGGTAGAGCACCAGAAAAGCTAAGCCCAAGTGTGAGGCTCTGAATTCAAGCCCCAGTACTGGCACAAAAAAAAAGAAAAAGTCTGTTGTAGAAGCTAGAAAAGCTTCATTGTCATTTGTTAACTGGATACTGGGAGTGTGGTGTTGGTTCCCATGTTTCTGAGACCCACACTGGACCTTTAGTCCCCCTCCATCTCTCCCCCCACCCCACCCCAAAGTGCCTGGTCCTGCTGCTAGATGCCACCTGTAATCCCAGCTACTCAGGAGGCTGAGATCTGAGCATCACAGTTCATAATCAGCCCCCCTCCTCCCAAGCATTGATGGTCCTGGGACTTGAACTCAGGGCCTAGGCACTGAGTTCTTTTGCTCAAGGCAAGTACTTGAACCACAGCTCCACTCCCAGCTTTTTTCTGAGTAGTTTATTGGAAATCAGAGTCTCAGGGACTTTCCTGCCCAGGCTGGCTTGGAACCACGATCCTCAGATCTCAGCTAGGATGAAAGGAGTGAGCATCAGCGCCCAGCTCTAAGGGCCGACTTGTCTGCTGGGTGCTCTGCCTGATCGCTTGTGATGCTGGTATTACTGACTTGATGGCCTTGTACCCTCCAGACCCCTGCCAGAACCATCACTGCAAACACGGCAAGGTGTGTGAGCTGGATGAGAGCAACACCCCCATGTGCGTGTGCCAGGACCCCACTAGCTGCCCTGCCCCCGTTGGCGAGTTCGAGAAGGTAAGAGCCTCCTGTAACACAGTGTGGGTGTGGGAAATGGTGCACTTCCCGTGTGTGGAGGGGGCGTTCCTACATTGGAGCTCTGATTTCCGAAGTCCTCTTGTTACATCCGGTCATCCCAGGAAAGTAGAGGTGAATGAGAGGTGATGTGCTCACTGCCTTCGAGCCGTCTGGAAACCAGTGAGGGTTAAATTGGCCACATCAAGTTCAAGTTCACTTGTCCCCAAACGTAGACTCTGGGATCTGGTGGGACTTTACATCTTAGCTCCACTACTTTTTTTTTGCCAGTCCTGGGGCTTGAACTCAGGGCCTAGGGACTGTCCCTGAGCTTCTTTGGCTCAAGGCTAGCACTCTACCAACTTGAGCCCCAGCGCCACTTCTGGCTTTTTCTGCTTATGGGGTACTGAGGAATCGAACTCAGGGCTTCATGCATGCTAGGCAAGCACTCTACCACTGAGCCGCCTTCCCAACGCTCTGTTATTTCTTGGCTGTAAGACCTTAGCTAAAGTGCAAAGCCTTTCTAACCTCAGCTGAAATGGTTAACTCCTTGTGGGAATTTTATTTGGGGGATAATATTTTATACATAAGAACCCAATAAGGGCTGCGTTTTCTTTCTCTTTCTTTCTTTTTTTTGGTTGGTCGTGGGGCTTGAACTCTGGGCCTAGGCGCTATTCCCAAGCTCTTCAGCTCAAGGTGAGCACTCTGCCACTTGAGCCACAGTGTCACTTCCAGTTTTCTGATGATTAATTGGAAATAAGAGTCTCACAGACTTTCCTGCCCAAGCTGGCTTTGAACCGTGATCCTCCAATCTCAGCCTCCTGAGTAGCTAGGATGACAGGCCTGAGCCACTGGCACCTGGCTCAAGGCCTGTTTTTTCAAATGATGGTTTCTCAAACTTATCCATTCTCTTTCTAACATCCATCTACCCCTATCCATTCACCCTCCCATCATCGATATTCCTGTTTATCTATTATCCACCCAACCCATTCACCCACTCAGCATTTCTCAGTCCATTATCCATCCATTGATTTATTCGTCATTCATATCCATCCATCATCCATCCATCTACTCAACATCCATCATTCATCTGTTTTCCATCCCATCTATTATCCACCCATCCATCCATATTTACATACATCTACTCATCCATCATCTGTCCGTCCATCAACCATCATATATGCATTCACTTATCATCATTATCCATCCATTCTTCATCCATCCATCTACCCACCCATCATCGATCCATTTATCTATACATTATCCATCCATCCACCCACTCATTCACCATCCATCCATCCATCCATCCATCCACCCATCCATCCATCCATCCACCCACCCACCCATCCATCCATCCATCCATCCATCCATCCATCCATCCATCCATCCATCCATCCATCCATCCATCCATCCATCCACCCACCCATCCATCCATCCATCCATCCATCCATCCACCCACCCATCCATCCATCCATCCATCCACCCACCCATCCATCCATCCATCCATCCACCCATCCATCCACCCATCCACCCATCCATCCATCCACCCACCCATCCATCCATCCATCCATCCATCCATCCATCCATCCATCCATCCATCCATCCATGCATCCACCCATCCATCCACCCATCCATCCATCCATCCATCCATCCATCCACCCATCCATCCACCCATCCATCCACCCATCCACCCATCCATCCATCCATCCATCCATCCATCCATCCATCCACCCATCCATCCATCCATCCATCCATCCACCCATCCATCCATCCATCCATCCATCCATCCATCCATCCATCCATCCATCCATCCATCCACCCATCCATCCACCCACCCATCCATCCATCCATCCATCCATCAACCCATCCATCCACCCATCCATCCACCCATCCATCCATCCATCCATCCATCCATCCATCCATCCATCCATCCATCCATCCATGCATCCAACCTCTATCATCTATCCATTATTCATCAATCCATTAGCTACCCATCCATACTGATATCCATCCACTCATCCATTATCTATCCATCCACCACCCATGCATCCATTATCCACCTACCCCACACCCATCTATCCATCTTCCCATTATCTATCTACCCATTATCCACTCATCACACTTGTGATCTGAGGATCACAGATCCATCAACCATCCATCTATGCACCCCCATCCATCCACTCCTCTATCCTTTATCCATCCATTCTTCATCCATCCATCTCTCCACCCATCATCTAGCTAGCTAGCTAGCCATACTCCATTCTCCAGCTAAGTCATGGGAATAACTTACTTGTCATCTCAGTTACGTTTTACTATAGTGACATTGAGGATCTACAGCTGGATCACACAGGAAAAAAGCAGGCAGAGATTGGGGGATCCAGGTAGAGAAAAACCCATGAGAAACTCAAAGCTTTTAGTTATTTACATATGCATGCATGCATGCATGCATGCATGCATGCATGTATGTATGTATGTATGTATATATTTAGTGCTCGTACCAGGACTTGAACTCAGGGCCTGAGCTCTGTCCTTTAGCTTTTCTTCCGCTCAAGACTGGCTCTCTACCACTTGAACCACAGCTCTACTTGCAGCTTCTTGGTGGTTCATTGGAGATAAGAATCTCATGGACTTTCCTGCCTGGGCTGGCCTCGAACCGTGATCCTCAGATCTCAGCCTCCTAAGCAGCTAGGATCACTGGCCTGAGCCACCGGCACTTGATCCCATCCCTGGCTTTAACTTGTCCTTCAAGTGTCTTTCATGTTCCAGGCTTGACTCAGTTGTGGCTCTGCTCTGCAGTTCCTCTCTGCAGGGACTAAATGATGGAGCTGGGGGGGGGGGGGGCGAGGAGAGGAGGGGGCGGGGCTTGTCTCAGCCCTTTCTCCAATGCACAGTGTGATCCTGGGCCCATCTGTGAAATGGGCCAGGATGGTGGTAGCACTGAAGGGCGTTGGACATAAAGGCGGGTGCTTGACCCACAGGTGTGCAGCAATGACAACAAGACCTTTGACTCCTCCTGCCACTTCTTTGCCACCAAGTGCACCCTGGAGGGCACCAAGAAGGGCCACAAGCTCCACCTGGACTACATCGGGCCTTGCAAATGTGAGTCTGCTTTTCCCACCTCAGACACGGAGCTCTGAAAAGCCGGAATTACAGGCATGAGCCACCAGTGCTGGCCAAGATCGTGATGTACATACACTAAAAAAAAGTTGTTATTGTTGTCGTCGGTCGTGGGGCTTGAACTCTGGGCCTGGGCACTGTCCCTCAGCTCTTCAGCTCAAGGCTAGCGCTCTACCACTTGAGCCACAGCGCCACTTCTGGTTTTCTAGTGGTTTATTGGAGACAAGAGTCTCATGGACTTTCCTGCCTGGGCTGGCTTTGAACCACAATCCTTAGATCTCAGCCTCCTAAGTAGCTAGGATTATAGGTGTGAGCCACTGGTGCCTGGCTCTGGTTAAGCGTTCTTGATCCCCTCTCTCCAGCTCCCTTGAAGCTAGACTATGGGCAAATATCAATTCTCACCTTCAAACACCTCCCATAATAATAATAATAATAATAACAATAATAGTAATAATAACAACAAGATTATCATTATCATTATTATTATTACTACTACTTGCCAGTCCTGGGGCTTGAACTCAGGGCCTGGGCACTGTCCCTGAGCTTCTTTTCCTCAAGGCTAGCACTCTACCACTTGAGCCACAGCGCCACTTCTGGCTTTTTCTGCTTATGTGGTACTGAACCCAGGGCTTCCTGCATGCTAGGTAAGCACTCTACCACTAAGCCACCTTCCCAGCCCCCACCTCCCAGAATTTGACCTCCCAGCCTGGCTCAGCCTTTGCCAGGCCCCTGACCCCAGAAGCTGTGGAAGCCACTGGGGAGAATTGTGGTGAGCTCTGCCCAGACCAAATCTGAGCAAGCAGTAGACAACTCTTTGCCCTTTCCTACACTCTCCTAGCTCATTGGCCTTTTAAGCTCAGAGAGGTGACCTTGACACCATGACAAGGTCACAGATGGATGCTCAGGCTGGGGAGTTGGGTGTGGCGTGGGCAGAGTAGCTTGAGCAACCTGGCGGCCTGAGGGAAAGGAGAAAGCAGATCTGAGTTGACCACTTTTTGTGTCCCTGGCCCTAGACATTGCTCCCTGCCTGGACACCGAGCTGACCGAATTCCCTCTGCGCATGCGGGATTGGCTCAAGAATGTTCTGGTCACTTTGTACGAGAGAGATGAGGACAATAACCTTCTGACCGAGAAGCAGAAGCTGCGAGTAAGTGGATGGTTTTTTTCTTTATTCTTTTTTTTGGTGCCAGTCCTGGGGCTTGAACTCAGGGCCTAGGCACTGTCCTTTTTGCTCAGAGCTGGTGCTTTACCATTTGAGCCAAGGCATCACTTCTGTGTTTTGGGTGGTTGTTGATGGTGGGTTTTTCTTTTTGTCAATGGGGGGGGGGGCTTGAACTCAGGGCTTGGGCGCTGTCCCTGAGCTATTTCCTCAAGGCGAGCGCTCTACCGCTTGAGCCACAGCGCCACTTCTGGGTTTTTGGAGATCAGAGTCTCACGGGCTTTCCTGCCCGGGCTGGGTTTGAACCATGATCCTGGGATCTCAGCCTCCCGAGGAGCTGGGATTACAGGCGTGAGTCGCCATCTCCGGGCTCTCTCAAGTCTGTAGATGAGGTGCTAGCTCTTAGGGCCCTGCCAGTTCCTTCCTGCCTCGGTTCGGCTGCCTCTTGGCACAGATGGAAGAGGCTCCAGTGGCCTGCATGGTCTCCCCGCCTCCCCCCAAACCTCAGTCACCCCCCAAATCTCTGCTCCTCCAGGTGAAGAAGATTCACGAGAATGAGAAACGCCTGGAGGCCGGGGATCACCCAGTGGAGCTGCTGGCCCGAGACTTCGAGAAGAACTACAACATGTACATCTTCCCCGTGCACTGGCAATTCGGCCAGCTGGACCAGCACCCCAATGATGGGTAAGACCTATAACCCCTGAGTACCACAGGGGGTTGCCTTAGTCCCGGTCCTAAGCAGACAGTCATGAGCCAGGGCCAAGACACAGCTAGAAAACCTCTTGGTGAGGTCAGCTACCCCAGCCCTGGGCCTCATGGTCTTCCTGGGGCCCAGGAAACATCCAGAGGGAGACTGTCTAGTTGGGAGAAAAGATCTGGGAAGGTTCCCTCACAATGGAGGCCGAAGCCAGTGGAGATGGAAAACACCTGGGTCTGTGAATGCTCCAGCTAGGAAGCCATGAATAGAAAGACAGGGAGCCCTAGGGAAAGAGGGTCAGACTTTCAAATCAAGTCGGCACCGGTGGCTCACGTTTGTCCATTCTAGCTCCTCAGGAGGCTGAGATCGGAGGATCGTGAATCGAAGCCAGCCCCAGCAAGGGAAAGTCTGTGGGATTTTTTTTTTTCTTTAATGTTGCCAGTGTCTTAGGGCTTGAACTCAGGGCCTGGGCCCTGTCCCTGAGCTTCTTTTGCCCAAGGCTAGCCCTCTACCACTGGAGCCACAGCGCCACTTCCAGCTTTATCCCTGTCTGTGGTACTGAGGAATCGAACCCAGGGCTTCATGCATGCTAGGCGAGCCCTCTACCACTGAACCACTTTCCCCAGGACACCCAGGGGGAAAAGAGGGGTGTCACCTTCACCCGGTGGGTCAGCAGTTATCTCTCTCCCTCCCGGCCTGCAGTGTTCACAGGGGCTGTGCAGTGACCCCCTCTCGCGTCCTTCCGAGTGCTGTAGCGCAGGCTCACCGCCCGCCCGTGCTGTCTTGCAGGTACCTGTCGCACACCGAGCTGGCCCCGCTGCGCGCTCCCCTCATTCCCATGGAGCACTGCACCACCCGCTTCTTCGAGGCTTGTGACCTGGACAACGACAAGTACATTGCTCTGGACGAGTGGGCCGGCTGCTTCGGCATCAAGGAGCGTGAGTGTCTCCCGTGGGGGTCGTGGGGTGGGAGGTTCGAGGTCAAACCCCGAAGGTCTGCTCTCTCGGGTGTCTTCTAGATCCTTCTAGATCCTTCTCGGGTCACGAGAAGGCCTCGGTCCCTTTTCCCTCAACTTGAGCATTAAGCTTTGGTTCCATCCCGTTTCTACCTGGGGGAATGCGGAGGCCCACGGTGGGAGGAAAGAGGAGACGAACTGGGCAGTGTGGCTAAGAGACCAGGACTTCCCGGAAATAGGGAGGCTGCAGTTTGTAGGCACCAACACCTTGGGGACTTGGGTCACGTCCACCTGTTCCTGAGATGGAGGGACATCTAACAGTTCCTGGGAGCCATGTCTTTGTGGACACAGAGCCTCATTTTATTGATCATGATCATCATCATTATTATTATTGTTGTTGTTGTTGTTGGTCATGGGGTTTGAACTCTGGGCCTGCGTGTTGCCCCTGAGCTCTTCAGCTCAAGGCAAGCGCTCTGCCACTTGAGCCACAACCCCACTTCTGGTTTTCCGTTGGTTTATTGGAGATAAGAGTCTCAGGAACTTTCTTGCCCTGGCTGGCTTTGAACCTGGATACTCAGATCTCAGCCTCCTGAGGAGCTAGGATGACAGGCGTGAGCCCCGGGCGCCTGGCTTGAGCCTCCTTTTTAACTGTATCTTCTCTTTTCACTTTCCAGAGGATATCAACAAAGACCTTGTCATCTGAGCCGGCTCCCTCTTTAAAGCACTCCGGGATTCTCTCTCTCTCTCTCTCTCTCTCTCTCTGATGGTCTCCCCTCTCCCCCATTCCCCCTCCTCCCCTCCCCTCCTCCCCTCTAAGTTTTAAATGTTTGGATGGTTTGGGGTTCTGCCTGGAGACAAGGTGCTAACATAGATGTCAACGAACACATTAACGGTGCTAAAAACAAAAGAAACACGGAAATTGTAACCCAAATCCCGACCTTCTGAGTTGTAGGCTTTGGTTGAGGCCTACCTAGGCCCCGCCTTGCTTCTCCATGACAACACACTACTACACATCAGCTGACCGGCTTTGGTGGAGACCGCCGTGCCCAAGCCTGCCTGAAACCTACGCCCTGCCTGAAACCTACGCATCATCCTCTCTCTCTCTCTCTCTCTCTCTCTCTCTCTCTCCTTAAATCTATTCCTCACCCACTCTGGGTTCATTTCATTTCAGGGACTTGGTTGCTAGGCACAATGTCTAGGTAGCCTGGGAATTGGGTAAAAGGAAGTAACAGACATGAACACATGATCTAAGAAGGTTCTGGAACTAGAGAAACAGTGGTGAGAGAGATCCCTACAAGGGGGACTCCAAATGGCAGACAAGCAAGTCTTGATTCCCTTGGAGCTGCTTTGAAAGTTGAGCCCTTCTAGAAGCTGGGATGTCACCATCTTGACTGTAGTCAAAACTTCCCAGCAGCCATGGGGATGATGATGGCTCAGGAGACTAGATCCACACATCCCCACCCCCCCCTCTGGGGGTGGGGCTTCTCCCCTTTTATTTTTTGGGGGGTAGGGGAGGGAGTCTCAGATTATTTTAGGCAGGAAAGCCAGAAGCATGAGAAAGACATTGTCAGCATGTCGTAAAGCAGGAAAGTTGGGCCTGGTGAGCTGCGGGTGGTGTTTTTCTTTGTCTTTCCACCTCTATCGGTCAGGTTTCTAGCATGTTCTGTCTCTTTGCCCATCTTCTATTCATCCGGAGACATCTCAAAGGCGACGCAATGGTCGGATCTCACAGGCTGAGAACGAAATTCCCCTCCAAGCATTTCATGAAGAAGCTGCTTTTCATTAATCACGCAAACTCACGCCCTGGTGTGTGCAGGGTTTGACCAAATCTTTCTAAATAAAAAGTAACGACTTAGAAACTGCCTTCCCTGGGCGGTTTTGCATGTGTCTGTGTGTGTGTGTGTGTGTGTGTGTGTGTGTGTGTGTGTGTGTGTGTATTTGCGCATGCGTGCTAGTACTGGGGTTCGAATTTAGGATCCTGTGCTTTTGCCTGGGCTGGTTTTGAACCATGATCCTCAGATCTCAGCTTCCTGCGTAGCTGGGGTGACAGGTGTGAGCCACCGGTGCCAGCTCCAATCCAAAATCTTTGACGGCAAAGCTTCGGCCATTTTTTCCCCATCCTTCCCTCCCTGTAGATAAATGCCTTAAAAACACAAAACAATGGGCTGGGAAGGTGGCTCAGTGGTAGAGTGCTTGCCTAGCATGCATGAAGCCCTGGGTTTGATTCTTCAGTACCACATAAACAGGCAAAGCGGGAAGTGGTGCTGTGGCTCAAGTGGTAGAGCGCTAGCCTTGAGCAAAAAGAAGCTCAGAGACAGTGCTCAGGCCCTGAGTTCAAGTCCCAGGACTAGCAAACAACAAACAAACAAAAACCCCACAAAACAAACATACAGACCCCTTAACATTCAAAGGAAACCATATCATTCCCTTAGATGAAAGATAGTATCACTTATCATAAACAAGAAGCCTTAAGGATAAATGCTTTTTAAAAAGAAAGCTAAGAGGAAGACACAGAATCAGAGAGGGAAATGGGAAAACATACAGCAGAGGGTCGATCAGCTGCACTGGACATTGATGAAAATGAACTAAGCAACTCAGAGGGGAAGGGAGGAATAGGAGGGAAAGAGGGAGCAGCTTACATAAGCAAAAGGAAAGAAATGTATCACCTGGTGTGGAAGAGGGCATTGTATTGTCAAAGCTCATGGAGTTCACAAACTTTACAGACCATGATAATGACAATTTGCCTTGTGAAGGTTAAAATGTGTTTGTGACTTGAACTAAGTATCACTATCCCACAATACTGTGAAATATGCGAAATTTATGTGATCACCTAATCTGAATTAACAAAAAGAAGAAGAAAAATGAGAGAAAGGATGGATTAGGAGCGATGGGAGACAATGGTACCAGACACCTTGTATTCATATACTGTTCTGTAGAATGGGAACTTCTTTGTACAACTAGTTACCTTAACTATTCAGGAGGCTGAGATCTAAGGATTGCAGTTCAAAGCTAGCCCAGGCGGAAAAGTCTGTGGGACTCTTATTTACCATGAACCACTCAAAAACCTGAAGTGGAGCTTTGATTCAAAGTGGTAGAGCACTAGCCTTGAACAAAAATTGCTCAGAGAGTGTCCAGGCCCTGAGTTCAAGCCCCAGCACCAGCAAAACAAAGCAAAAAACAATGCGAGTCTTGTTCTGCAGTTGGTGGTCAGTTTTCATTATTAACTCGACTGGATTAAAAAGCATAGGCCTAAAGCCAGGCACTGGTGGCTCATGCCTGTCATCCTAGCTACTCAGGAGGCTGAGATCTGAGGATCATGGTTCAAAGACAGCCCAGGCAGGAAAGTCCAGGAAACTCTTATCTCCAATAAACTACCAGAAAACCGGAAGTGGCTCTGTGCTCAAGTGGTAGAGCGCTCGCCTTGAGCTGAAGAGTGAGGGAGAGCGCCCAGGCCCAGAGTTCAAGCCCCATGACCAACCAAAAACAACAACAACAACAAAAACAAAGGCCTAAAGCCAGGTACTGGTGACTCACGCCTGTAACCCTAGCTACTCAGGAGGCTGAGATCTGAGGATCATGGTTCAAAGCCAGCTCAGGCAGGAAAGTCTATGAGACTCTCATCTCCAATAAACCACCAGAAAACCGGAAGTGGCGCTGTGACTCAAGTCAGTGAGACTCTTAACTCCATAAACCATCCCCTATAACCCCCCCACCCCCCAAAAAAGCCAGAAGTGGAGCTGTAGGGGAAAAGCACTAACCCAGGCCCTGAGTTCAAGCCTCAGGACTGGCACAATAGAAGGAAACAGAGGCCTAGGAGATTACAAGGCATATCTCTAAGGTAATTCCATAGACTGGATGGGAAGAAATCTTACTGTCTTTCTCTGGGATTAGCAGACCGAATCTAAGGAGACATTCAGAACACCAGATTCATAACTCTTTCCCCAAATCATTTCCGAGGCGAAAGGTGTGGCTGTCTCTCCAGAACTTTCTCTTCCTTTGTCCTTCTGGGCACCCTCTGGACCCCAGCTTTATTTATAGGGTTGGGGTGAGGGGTAGGGGTGGCTCTTTTGCTCATTCATTGGCGATAAGAGGCTCACGGATTTTCTGGCCCAGGCTGGCTTTGAACTGTGATCCTCTGATCTTAGCGTCCGAAGTAGCTAAGATGATAAGCCTGGGCCATTTTCTAGGGATTAATGGATTGTACTTTTATGTTTAGGGCTGTTTGGTGAACCTTGACAAGCTCCTTCCCCTTGAAGGATCCATTCATTCATTCACAAATTCATTCATTCTCTCCTTCTGCGATTCCATAGACTAACTGTGGAGATTATTCCCAGATGAGATAATCCTGTCTTCACAGACCCCGAAATCTGTCCTGTTAGGTAGACTGTCTAAGGATGGGAGCTTCTGGACCTTTCCACATCTACAACCTGATCTCCAGATGACTCCCCAGAGCCAGCAGGACCAAATTATCTTCCCCGGTCATGGAAGGCAATGAGAGGAGTCAGAGCGCCCCCTGGTGGAACCAGGGAGAAAGACTATGGGGGAAATATGGGAGCCAGAGACAGTTGTAGTTCAGCTCCATCATTCATCAGAGGGTAAACTGAGGCTCAGAGGAGTGGAAGATGACGCCCAATTAATTGGGATTTCAAACAAAGAATATATGCATTGGATAATTAAATTTTGTTTTGTTTTGTTTTTGGGTCCGGTCATGGGGCCTGAACTCTGGGCCTAGGCGCTGTCCCTGCACTCTTCAGCTCAAGGCTAGCACTCTACCACTTGAGCCACAGCGCCACTTCCGGCTTTTTTCTTTTTGCTTATGTGGTGCTGAGGAATCGAACCCAGGGCCTCATGCATGCAAGACAAGCACTCTACCACTGAGCCACCTTCCCAGCCCCTGGATAATTAAATGTATACATAAACATTATAGAAAACATATTATTCAAACATATAAATTGGATACTTAAATGTAAATATATCTCATGCAAAGTTTCAGGGGATACTTCTTGTACAATGTGATTCATGGAATATCTGAAATTCAAATGTTTATACTTTTTTCTTTGCTTGATTGGCAACACTACCTTCCAGTCCAGACACAGGAGAAAGAACAGGCGGTTTACACAGGACAGATTTCTGTGTGTGTGTATGTGTGTGTGTGTGTGTGCCAGTCCTGGGGCTTAGACTCAGGGCCTGGGTCCTGAGCTTTTTGCTTCAGCTCAAGGCTAGCATTCAACCACTTGAGCCACACAGATAACAGTCTCACAGACTTTCTGGCCTGGTTTCAAAAACTTGATCTTCAGATCTAAGCCTCCCGAGTAGCTAGGGTTACAGGCGTGAACCACTAGTGCCCAACTGATGGCAGGACTTTGAGATGGTGAATAATTCTTTGTAAAATTATGGGCAGGGCGTCATTATAATTCAGTACATCATATAGTGCAAAATAAAGCAACAACAACAAGAGAGAAAAGAATGGGGGGAAAAAAAGAAGAAAGAGCCCAAACAAGTTGGTTAATGTTTGTAAAAGGAAATTCATTTCTTTAAATTTAATTTAAAAAGGTTTGCGGTGCACCAGGCACTGTTGGCTCACGCCTATAATCCTAACTACTCAGGAGGCTGAGATCTGAGGATCATGGTTCAAAGCCAGCATGAGCAGAAAAGTCCCCGCGAGACTCTTCTCTCCACTTAACCGCTCAAAATCCAGAAGTGGAGCTGTGGCTCAATGGGTAGAGCATTAACCTGGAGCACAAAGAGGCTCAGGAACAGCACCCAGGCTCTGAGTTCAAGCCCCACAACTGACCAAAAAAAAAAAAAAAAAATCGTGGTGCTAGAGTTTGAACTCCAAGCCAAATGCTTGCTAGGCTGGTGCTCTACCACCGGTGCTACGACTCTAACCCTTGTAAAGGAAAAATTAAAGACAAATCTCAGATCATTGGTCAGTTTGACAACCAGGCAGGCGGGCCAGACAATTCGGTGTGTGCAGGATTTCGAGTTTTTCCAGCCACTGCTGCTAAATACCCTCACACGCACAAACCCGAGGGAACACCAGGGGGCGCTGAAGGCACGGCTGAATCTCTTTAGTGGAAGTTTATGGCGCACTACCTGCACTGACCAGCAGAGGACAGCCTGACATAAGGAATTGGGCCTCCTAGGCCAGGCGGTCTCAGTCCTGAGACTTGAGTTCTCAGGGACACAAGGTTGGTTATACATACGGAGAAACTGAGTCTCAGATTTGTGATGTGCTCAATATTGGCTCCCCCACCCCTTTTTTAGTACTGAGGCTTGAACTCAGGACCTTGTACTCTTGCTTTATCTCCTCCCTCCCCCTCCAAGGCTGGTGCTTTACCACTTGAGCCACACCTCCATGTTGGGCTTTTGTGCTGGTTTGTTGGAGGTAAGAGTCTCGTAGATTTGTCTGCCCTGGGCTGGCTTTGAACCTTGATCCTCAAGTCTCAGCCACCTGAGTAGCTGGGATGACAGGCATGAGCCACTGGCATCAGTCAGAAAAGGAATTCAAGAGACAGAGAAACCTTACAACCCCCCAGTTCTTAACTATAAGACAGACACATGACAGACAGATGCTGAAGACCCTGCCTGGGCCCTGAGCATGGCTGTGGGTCTCAGCCAGTAGCCTCAGCTCAGGCCTGGATCCCAAACAAGAACTAGAAGATTCCACAACCCAGCTTGGTAAATTCATCTCTGAGTAGTTTTCTTGTGGCAATGAAAATAACAGACAAAAACAAAAAACAACAGTGCCGGTGGCTCACGCCTGTCATCTTAGCTACTCAGGAGGCTGAGATCTGAGGAGCATGGTTCAAAGCCAGCCCCAGCAGGAAAGTCTGTGAGACTCTGATCTCCAATAAACCACT